ATTATAAAATGCTCAAGGCCTGCACAGTGAACGTGTTAAAGAAGACACATGCAAGTTTTACTATATATTATATAATATATAGTAAATATAGTATATAGTATAATATAGTATAATATAGTATATATAGTATAATATAGTATATATAGTATAATATAGTATAATATAGTATAATATAGTATAGTATAATATATAGTAGAACATTCTCTATTTTCCATTGATTGTTTAATATTCAGCTAATAATAGCAACATTTTATAATACGATAAATTTTTTTTTCAATAATAAATTGCACTGATATTTCGGATAAAAAATGTATTAATTCTTCCTTTGTAATCATAAGTCGTAAATGACTATTATATTGTACACCATGGTTACGTAATGATTAGAAAGCGAATCGACGACACGGTTTGTTATAATGTGGTACGCACGCCTTGAATTACGAATTGCTTTTTACTCGATGAAATTTTCATGCAATATGGCTTCTATATTATGCGGGATCGTGTATTACAAAATTACAAAATTACTCTATAAATAGATTTACGTCTCAAAAATATTATTTGTGTCTCAATAACTTTTAAAAATGTGTGTTGAAAGACATATTATGCATATACATTATATATACGTTATATATACATATGTGTGTGTATTATACATATATATAATATATATATTTTTATTCATTTCTATTTGGTGGTTTGTAGAGTATAAAAATGTAAACAGATGTAATGTTTTTAATTAGTGTGCCTGAGTTAATTAGCGAGCTTATGTCTTTCAAATTATGGAAATTTTACTAACTTTCAATGAAATTCGCTATTTTGCATGTTTTCGAGAAATGTATAAAAACGCGAAAGTAGAAAATTTTCTTACAGACACATAAACATAAAACATATGGTTCGAATCATCAAAATATCTAATTTTTAATACTATTACATTAGTACAAATAGTATCTTATTTCGTCCAACAATTATATACTTCAGAAAATACATTTAATTAATTTAATTAATTTTACACAAAAGTCACATTGTCATGCAACTTCAGAAAAAAAAAAATATACTGATGACATAAATAACATTAAAACAATATTAGAATCATTTTGTGAACGTGCATCTCTCATAGTTTTCGATACATAATTCTCGGTGAACGGTTTGTCCCATTGCCTTGTAGCTTTCCTTTATTGAGTCATATCATAATTGCAAAAGATTTGCATCATCATGTATTTAAATTGAAAAGTTACAGAAGTCAGTTGAAATGGGTGTTCCAGGCATCGCTGCGCCGCTTCATTTTTATTCTATCACTGCCTCGAACAAATTGCAAAGCGTGTAAGGCGAAGCATTCTTAAGAATGCAACTGTCCATGAGAGTTTTTACAACACCGAAAGTTTACCTTCTTACCGTGCAAAGGAATCGAAGAAGTCACACATACTTCGAGAAAAGCAAACCCATGCCATGGTGGCCGGTTGCACTGGTTAGAAACCGGTTTTACAGGCAAGTTTTGTAATGAGATTCCTCAAACAGTCCTAGCAACGAGTGGGACAATAAGAATGAAGAGCTACAGAAAGGAAGTAATAATGATGGAAAACAAGCAACGTTATCACGAAGAAGAGAGCCAATGCCAAGTAATGCAATCAGATTGCATTACTTCGTGCAATAGAAAAAAATTCACCTGTTGTATTCACGTGTGATTCGATGCAGAAAAATTAATAACCTGTTTCTGTACAAAAACTCCTTCAACTTTAGCATATCCCAGCGACCTGATTTGAACTTTCATCTCTAACTATTAATCGCAACAGAATGATCGTTTTCTCGTTTCGTTCGATGAGATTTAGATCAGTCTTCGATCATTTTTATTAAACTCAAACACTCGACTTTCGCAGTTTGAAAATTATAACTTAATTTTAATTTTCCCGGGCGAAATATTCATAGAAATTTAAAATATATACCGCTACATCGTCTGCGCAACATATTAACATTTTGCATGCGATTCAGCTAGAAACTAATGTCAGGTAATGCCAATAAGTGTTACCTTGTACGTTGATTTAGGTAAGCTGCTCAGGCGACATGGTACGTATAGCTACCAGTCGCACTCTTTGTATGCATATGCAAAATTTTGTACGATTAGTTGCAAAGAAATTCGATTAAACTTACATGTCGATTAACTGTATTTTTCACTGTGCAAATGATGTCTTTAATAATCTTGTTACGGCTGGCGATATTGTTATTATTGTAATAAGCTTGTTCTACACGCAAAATTACTGCTTAGAAATTATGAAAAAAAATTTATATATATACATATATATGTACTAGATAGAAAGTACAAACTGGAACAATATACGTTGCTATGAATGGGAAGCAATTCATTACCGGACATCTGTTCACCGAGTTCAAGGCCGTTCAACCATTTCCAAAGAATTGTAAGTACAGGTGTCCTCATCGAGTATTCCCGATGAGTCACTGACACATACATATGCACACGTATTTTTTTCTCAGTCTCCAATACTCAATTAACAAACTTGGTAAAAATTCTTTCAATGCTTCTAATTTGGATCTTCGGACAAAAATTATTCGGAGAGAAATACAATCGCGAAACAATTTTATATTAGAACGTTTGTATGTTAGAACAAGAAAATAATTTTATTTTCTACAAAATAAATATATATTTTTTTTTTTATTTAAAATAACATAGAAGTATACGAAATGACCGTAGAAGCAAACGCTTTTTTTTATTTAAAATATAATGCATTCAATTTTTTAATACCTATTACTGTTCACCTGGTTTGTTATAATATAATTAGTCGTGCAAAATAACATTTGATATTTCGTTTATGATGTGTTAACTGATGACGATTGTGACGAGTTAATTGAACACTTGAAATGGGCTTTGTGGCGAGTGATAAGATGATTTGATCACATAATTTTATGTAATCACATAATTCAGGCTTCACACTCACGCAATGAAAATCGATATACCGTTTGTTACATCACTTAATCCTCAAACTACAAGTGTCAAAAGCAATCAACTGATGTGCATACAATCTTTATAAGAAGTATCGCATTTACAGTGAAGAGGATATAACTGTATCACTAACGATGAAAAATTGCCGACATTTAGGCTGTTTTAATGGTAAAACCTCTGTTCGTTTTCTCCACAAATGTTTTTACATTGTGTAGCTGGTGGAGCAATAATATTCAATCATCTCTAGAGACGATCCTCTATTTTAAGATCCATCATGATCTTGCAGATTCAATAAAAAGTTCAATAAAATAGAGAAACAAAAATCGTAGAATAAGTTTTAAATAAAGTTAATAAATTCTAAGTGGATTTAGTCATAAAAAAGATTTTTCGATGATTTTAGAAACGTTTGAATTTTTACAATTCTTGAATTGTAAAATTGCGTTATAAAAAAAATTCTTTCAAAAGAAAAAACAACAACAAGTGATGTTTTACGTTTTGAACTGTGCACTAGTTATATTATTTTAGGAGTATGTACTTTATATAAAGTATTAATTTTTCATTATCAGATGTACAGTTATACCTTTCGCTGTAAATTTATGCGAATATTTTCAAAACCGTTGACGATGTCGAAAAGCATCGAATAATTCTCAAACAGAACTAACTACTAATAAACACATAAATGAACGTTACAAAATTTATATAAAAATTTCTTTTATATAAAAGATGAACGTTACAAAATTTGTATAAAAATTTCTTTTATATAAAAGATGAACGTTACAAAATTTATATAAAAATTTCTTTTTTATAAAAGATGAACGTTACAAAATTTATATAAAAATTTCTTTTATATAAAAAATGAACGTTACAAAATTTATATAAAAATTTCTTTTTTATAAAAGATGAACGTTACAAAATTTATATAAAAATTTCTTTTATATAAAAAATGAACGTTACAAAATTTATATAAAAATTTCTTTTTTATAAAAGATGAACGTTACAAAATTTATATAAAAATTTCTTTTATATAAAAAATGAACGTTACAAAATTTATATAAAAATTTCTTTTTTATAAAAGATGAACGTTACAAAATTTATATAAAAATTTCTTTTATATAAAAAATGAACGTTACAAAATTAATATAAAACCTTTTCGTCCGACGTGTAGTTTTAAAAAAAATCGAGCTAGAAGATATTTATGAGAGTTTACGAGATATTTACGAAAACGTAGAGCAGTATACAATATTGAAAGTATCGCACAATTAAAAAAAAAGTGCAAAAATTACATTATTGAGCAGGAAACAATTTTACAATTTTATTTAACATATAACTTCAAATTATCATATTATATTTGTTATATGCGATAACCTATCAAACTCGAAAGGAATATTTGAATTAAAATCCAAAATTAAAGCGAACTGCATGCTTTTTAAGCTATATGTAAATATTCTGCATATAAATATATATTTGTAGAATATAGAAATCGTAACATATGTAAGTAGACGCTCTGCATCACGATTTTCGCAATTGGAGCAATTGGAGTACATCGGCTGCATTGCAGATTATTCATCCCATTCTTTGAAATATTTCATTCTAATTTGATTTATTAGAAAACAAATATTTTATTTATAGATAAATATTTATCCAATTTCGTACTTCGACAATATTTCCAATTTTCATAACATATTAGTACAAAAACAGCTATAAACTAGTCACACAAAAATGCAACCGATAGGAACTTTGCAATAAATATTTATTACCTGCCACGAGATAATTGTCACGAAACGAGTAAAACAAATAAAAAAAAAAAGAAATTAATTCATCAATCAGTTTAATCAATTTAAACGACAAACATCCTACTTATCAAATTTTTCTCCTACATGTGAGAATCTACTACTGTCAAAAGTTACTCCCTATTTGTCGATTTGTTCCTCATTTCGAATTTGACCAAGTGCAACAAAATTGAAAACATGTGATAGCAACACGAGACGTGTTGCTAATAAAAAAAAAAAAAAGAAAGCAAAGTATCAATATAGGGATGTAATAAACTCACCCAAAACATAACGTTAAATCCAAAGATCACATACTTGAGACAGCAGCTCACTTCACTGGTATCCCTTCTGTACTTCCGCACAGCAGGCATGGCTAAGACACATTTATCTAATGCTTTTGCGAACTCCACGCATACGTGCACACAACACACTCGCAAGAATGCACTTATTCACACAACACAAAGAGCACCGGTGCCCTACGGGCGAAACAAATCACAAACGTAATGACATAGCCGAAAATCTAATTCCCTTCTTTCCTGACGTTTCCCTTTAAATTATTTCGGAGGGCTCCGAACACGGCCGCTTCCTCCCTGGATCCTCGTCTTATTATTTATTCGCGGGTTCTTTCTCGAATTTTGCTCTTTCCGTCGAGCTCAGTTGATCAGCTGATCACAATAACGTACCGTTTCGCAATTACGACTACCGCCATTGTCACGTCACGGTACATACTACCCGAGGCTGGATCAACGAGACTGCAAGCAGGTCGGACTTTCCACTCGCCCTCCGATTCTCCCCACCAACTAAATTTCATTCGCTTGCCCCTCCAACGCCCGATCGTCCACCCTTCGATGTTCCCCACCCTATCTTCTCTCTCACACTAGCTCCCTGCTACTCACTATTATTTGATGTCCCCCCCCCCCCTTTTATTTTCCTTTCCTGATCCTCTCGATCATCTAACACGCTTCACTCCACAATGCTTCACTCCCCTTTTCTTTTCTTCCGGTTACATGTTTCGGATATACATACAGTTCTCTCATACATACGATAACGTTTATCGGTTAAACATTTTTTTCTTCAGTAAGCAGCGCTCCAATTTAACATCATATCACTTCTATAAATACGACGAGATTAAAATGAATTTTTATATATACTGAAATTCAATTCAATTAACAATACGTATTGTATTCAATTTTACTGTTATTATTAATAACAGTAGCATCACATATTTTAGTCTCAATTTAATATATCCAGAGAAATTTTACAGAATACACAATACTAATCTCTAGCCCAATATTACTTATTTCTTTTTTCAAATACAAATTTTAAACAAAACTTTTCTCGAACATAATCTGTAAACAAGAAATTTGTGTTTATAATCTGTAAAAATTATTCGCAAGTACTGAATATATTCATCTTTGTCTCATTAATACGTACCAATCATTATTCTGATAATAATAATTAAATGTTTGTTTACATATTGATAAAGCAAACTATTTTTTAAAAAATAAATAAAAAATTTTATTAAATTTATATGTTTAATTTTTTGTAAGTAATAATATTTAGTAACTGTATATAATAATCGTATAAACAAAATTATTTATTCATGAATCAGATAGATGCAGAGAAATCAATATGAACGAAATCATTTTTTTTAAATATTTATTTAGAAACTAAGAATGTTTATATTATATTACTATATTAAATAATATAATGGTGTAATAGTTGGTTAATATTGATAAAAAATTAATAACACTTAATACAGTAAAATATTATTTATTTTTATCACAGTATTGCACAAACTTTATATTTAGCGATATCGATATATTCGAATAAAATGTTGAAATCTTCAAAGTGCATGGCAAAACAAAGTTGCAATTTTAGAAGCAAGAAATAACATTGTTTGAAAAATTCTGAGCTTACAATTAATTATTGACAATAGTAATAAATTTTAATCCAAGTCACGTACAATCTGTACATTTAACAATAATATGGCTATAAATTTCGTTCAGGACATCTTGTTTTTATATACTTCATGATCGAATATATTATAATAAAAATATTTTATAATATATGCAATTTTACATATTTTAATATAACGTTTGTTTTACTATAACGTTGTTCTATGTTATTGACATACTCGTGAGATATTTCTGACAATATGGGAGATAAAAGAGAATAAAATCAGGAAGAAAATTTTTAATCGATGAACACTAAACTTAATCTATTACTATGAAAATTTGAAAGGATAACTTAAAATTAGACGAAAAAGACTAACATTTCAAAAGCAAAAATTTCAAGAAACTTTCCGAATTAAACAATAATATCTTGAATCAATTACTTCTGTAATAAAAGTTATCTCTATTTTCTAATACTTGTTTTCAAATTCTCGAGCATTTTAGTGAATAATAAAATACAGAACACCAATATTCGTAAAATAAATCCTTAAACAATCAAAATACGTAACATTTTAAAAATATCATTGATTATAATAAATTTTATATCTCTAGTCATTAGTTTTATAATTGTAATTGTAACATTGATTATAATAAGAAAAATCTTATAAGAATTTATTTTACTTCAAATTAATTTAATAAATATTACCTAAAATATATTCAGTCAAACAAAATATATTCAAAGAATACTTAATATACAATGCATTATAATAATCTTTATTTACAGGAAGACTTACTTTATTTATATATTAAAAAAGCTCGAATTTTATCTTTGGCAAAGTTTTTTATCTTTAGTTTGGTACTACTGCGCATTTTTTGATTTATATTAAAAAGCTTGAATTTTATCTTTAGTAAATTTTTTTATCTTTAGTTTGGTACTACTGCGTATTTTTTTGATTTATATTAAAGAAGCTCGAATTTTATCTTTAGTAAATTTTTTTTACCTTTAGCTTGGTACTACTGCTACGAAGTCAACTTGATTTCTGTATACCTAACCTAACCCAAACCTATAAGAGTTGTACCTAACCTATTATACTAAATTTTAAATATAATTTTTATTGAATCATCACACAAAAAGTTAAAAATAATGAGTTTAATACCATATATGCGTTCTGTAAGTACACATATATACAATGTACAAAATATACAACATAACCTTATTCTTAATCTAAACTAAAAATTAAATATTTTCAGATATTTCAGATTAGTCAAAATAATGTTACAAAAAGGCATTTACATATCAGTACAGTGCTTAATAAATCACGAGCTGGACGTTATAGACCAAAACCAAAAATAGTGCAAGCACTGACATATGAAATGGCAAATCCACCACATTATATTGCTTCCAGAAAATCTTGGAATTCATGGAATACATGTAGGGATATTTTATAATTTCTTTCATTAATAAAAATACTTTCAATGATAATATGCTTGAAATTAAAGCTATTAAAATTTGTTATTTATTTAGCTGTTTATAACGTGTAATATATATATGAATTATTTCTTTCAGCAAATATAAAAGATGGTAATAGACCATCAGAAACTCTTGTGGAAGATTTATTTATTCGAAATTTTATACAAGGAACTTGGCACGGATTGTTTTTAAGTGAAGTCATTATTAAACGTCAACATAATATCATTAGAATAGCTGGTATTATTAACCGCAAAATGTTGCCTGGTCAAATACATTTTTTAATTGGTTATACTGAACAACTTTTAAGCTACTGGTTACATTGTCCAATAAGAATGGAATTATCATCAGTACCTTCTAAAGATGTTATATACAAATATATCTAATATGTTCATAGTCTCAATTATTTTGATATAAAGTATAATTGTAAGTGTCATAAAAAATTATATTGTGTAAATAAAAGTAAATTTATAATTCTTAACTTATTTCACATATATTTACACTATTATTGATTCATTGCACGACTTTTTGTGTTAAATATGTCTACAAATAATGTTGTAATTAATATACTTGTCTATAAAATTAAAAATAAAAAACACAAATATAATATAACAAATATTGTTAAATATTTTAATATCTTACACATACATTCTTGGGATTATTTTCTAAAGTATGTGTATATGAGTAGAATTTACAGTTCTTTTATGAATATTTCAGAAACTGTTTATTTTCGTGAAAAACAACTCTCATTTTCGAGTGAATGTACCATTTCGAGAAATATATATGTCGAAGTATCCGCATTACGATACGGCGACAGAATAAAATTAATACTAACCCAAACCTAAGTTTGCGATATTAAAACTACTATATTTTTTTTATTATTGAATTCTTTTGACGTAAATACATTCTTTTTGTTTTAAATTTTAAACCATCTTTTCTAAATACTTGAATATTTCATCATAAAAATACACATTCTCATTTTGAGATACTGTGCTACTAAAATGCAATTTGAAAAATTCAAGAAATTGGACCATTTTTTAACAACAATTTCAACAGTTAAATGGAGTAAATATCATATACATGAAAAAAACAATTATCTATACCAGTATTAAATCGAAGTTTAAAATTTTTTATCTTAATCTAAATCTTATGTTATGATTAGAATCTTAAGAAAGAATTGGATTTATACGAATGAAGAAAGCTGAAAGCAGATACTCTTCACTTTCTATCATTGTCTATTAGACGGCTTGATTTATTATTGTGTTTACTATTAATTTGTTATTATTGTATTGAATTTTTGGATCTTTCGTAATCTCTCTTTGGATATGAATAAATGAGAATTTGCGTAAAATAACAATTTCTGCGAAAGGGTTTCTTGGAATCAGTCATGCCTTTCACGCGCTGACTCGTGCATACTTTCCTTCGTCTCACGTTATTCTCACGTTTCGCAGTCGTTGAAGAGGTGTTTTTTTACACTACCGGATGTCTGTTACTTGTGAAATGCTTATTTTCTCACTGTACAATATATTTTCTCGCTGAGGAAAGTATACTCAAAATGTCTAAACAAATTTTAATTATAATTAGTTATGCATAAAAACGAAAATATTACATAAAATCTGTGAATCGTGCTGAAAAATTGTCGCTATTTGAAGTATTATAATTTTGTGCAAAAAAAAAATTGTATAACAATTAAATAAGGCTCACTTTAAAACCTGAAATCTCTGTTTTCGCAATGTACCATTCATTTTTTTTTCTTTTTTGAGATTTTTTTATATCATATAGCAAATGGAAATGTAAAGATATTTTTTTCTCGAAAATGTTACAAGTTGTTATAATATGTAAAAAAACTGATAAAATTTTTCTTATTAGTAAATCCACGAATATGAAGAATCTTCTCCTTTACAACTTTCTAAAAATTTGATATACGGTTTTTGATTTTATTGACAAAAATATTCATATATCTTTGTAGATTGATGATATATGATATATGAAACAGTGGATCTTCTTCATTATATATATTATTATTAAAAAATATGAATTTTAATAGTAATATTATACTTTATTAATAAAACAAAAATTATTTCAAATTAAAATATAAAATTATTTCAAAATTTCATGTGTAAATGTTATAGTACATATTATATGGAAATAAGATTTAATCTGATTTAAATTCCCGAATTTGTAGTTTTTTACTTTCTAAATTTAATAATTTTTGAGTATATTATAATATACAGAGTACATTCGAAACAGATGATTAAAGTTTAACATTATACTCTAATCTCTGTAAGAATACGAAAAAATAGCACAAACATAAGATTCCAGAATAATGACTTTATATTTATAAAATATTTAGATAGGAATCAATTTACTACAATACATTTTGACTTCAATGTCATGTTGATTTATTCAAAAATAGGAATACTATTTTTAATTGCAATTAATTAATTTAAATGTTTCGATGTAAATTCTTTAAAAAAAGTAGAAGATAATACCAAAATTTAGACACTCACATATTTTGATTATACTTTACACTGTCAGTCTATCATATCTGTATATCGATCTTTTTAGCATATGCATATAAAAGATGGTTAATAAGCCAGAGATTGCTGTAGATTTGTTTATTCAAAATTATATACAAGGAACTTTTTTTGTGAATGTTTATAAAATTATTTATAATGTACTAAAAATCAACATAAAATAATTAAAATAGTTTCAAAATAAAAATGCTTTCTTGTGTGAAATATGTACGGTTTATCTATACTTGCGTACTTTTAATCAATCAATTATTACTCACAATCAGTTAAAATAGAATTAATAACAGCGTAAAACAAATGCTTCAAATAATGTAATTTATCTTTGATATCTAAGTATCTTTAATGCCAGCTACAATTATTATAAAAAACATTATTTTATGAAAATAAACACAGATCTATAACATATTATTAATTAATTTGTTATAATATGGACTTTCACTGTTCAATTATTAATATTAGATTAATTCAACAAATATATTCAAAAAAAAATTTGAAACTCTTATATTTTTATGATTGATAATGTTTTTTCATCTTATGATTCATAATGTTTTTTTTTCATATAATTCTAACAAATTTTATATAAAGCAAAGAAATTCATATAGTTTTACTATATAATAATAAGCATATAATTATTTTACTTTCTGAATATTTTTAATTTATTTTATGTTAGTTAATAAACTGTTACATTCAATCATGACTCAAACGCAGCCCATATACAATCATTGCATTTTTAATAAAAAGTAAATTACATATTATTTTAAGATAGCTATTTAAATAAAAAGATATTTAAGTGCAAACTGACAGAGCATTCAAACTTTTATATATTCTACTAGACACATTCTCTCCTTTAGTATGTCTTTACAACTCTTTTCTTCCATTATTCAATCAGGATCGTGTTGCTACATATTTGTACTTTCAATAGATTTTTGAGTATTTATATAGGTATATAGTAATGAGGAATCATCATTAACTAATTAAGTGAAAAAATTAAAATAAAATATATTAGTTTGCAATTTATAGTATGTTAAAGTGAAGAATTATTATAATGAAACATTCTTATATAAAATTGTGAATAGAATTTACAAATTTATGATTATGAAGTATATTATATATGACATTTGAAGTAAAAATCGCGTCAGTTTAAAAATATAGTTTTAGAAGATTAAAAATTCACTGATTAAAAAATTGATATTTAAAAAATTTTGCGTAACTACATATTATAATAATTATACTGTATGCTTTTAAAAAACTTTATTTTCTCAGAAATTATTTATGCAAATTAATGTTTCTTTTTATCCTTAGAAACACAAAATAATGAATCCAATAAAATAATTCTTGATTCCAGCATTTCCAATATAGCAGGTAAAAAATTTCCAAAAGCGTACACGAAATCTGATTGAATTTACAATATTAACACTGAAATGTAATTATCCTTATGATGGACGCAAGAATTATGTTCCAATGTTCACAATTTTTTATCATGTTCTTATAAAAGTACAGACTGAAATGTGCTGTGCTTGCCTTATTATACTCTAATATAATTCTATTCTTATTTATGGAAGTCAAAAATCGACACTATTACGCAATACTATATAGAATATAATTAATATTGCACTTTGTTTCAAACAAATAAATCACATATATGAGGCAATTAGAAACAAAATTATAGAGTAATTTGTATCAAATTATCTTTGGGATTATGTTAAAAAAATTATGTTCATTAGTTCTATCATTGCATTATTTCTACTTAATGTAATATTATTGTATATATAAAAATGACTATATTGTGAATTATAATTGTGGTATATTGACCTAATAAGCCATATTGTTTTGCAATTCGAATGATTATAAAATATTTATTCAATATTAAAATATTAGTAGGAATTCTAGTATCACGTCCGACAAACTAAAAGAAAATATTTTTTATGAATAAATAATTACTAAAATGTCTTGCATTAAAAAATGGTTCTTTTGGTGTCGTTTGTTACATTGTACCGCATAATTGCTAAATGCAAACATACTTTTAAATATCATATATAATATCACATATATAACAATATATATTATATTATACATAATATTATGTATGCATATATTAATAAATATATATATCATATACTATGCTCTGATAAATTATTAGACACTATTACAGTGTAGTTTCAAATCTATATATTTTGTTATATTGTTTGACTTAATTTAAAAGCAATATTATTCTATTAATATTGCGTATATAGTGTCATTTTGTATTTATGTATATATCCTTATATTATGTAATATGCCCAAAATTACAAAATACAGAAAAGTAAAGGCATTGACTACTATGTTTGATCAAACTATTGAAGATGTATCAAACATTTCAAACGAAACATTGTGTTCACATCATACAAGACTGACAAGTAATACATCTTTAATCACATAAAAATATTTACCTATTACTAACTAATTAAAAATAATGTTGAATTTTCTATATATTGTGTGAAAAAGCTCAGAAGATTGAAAATTAACATATTTATAAAAAATCCATAATAATTTTTAAATTATTCATTGAAGTTTTACTTATTTTTAAACGGATTTATTAATTTAGTAAGACAACAATATATGTAAATTATATACAAGAAATACAGAAACATTTTTAAATACAGTTCGATGAATTCTCATACTGCAATTATTATATATCATTTTATTATTCACAATCAGTATCTTTCCAATTAATTCTAAACATTTATAAGAATTTAGTATATCTTTATTTTTTGTTAAAAAATTTACCACATTTTACAAGAAATCTATGATTCGTAGGAAATTTTATTTTCGTATGACTATTAATGAAAGTATGAAATATTATATTTAAAAATATAATATTTAAAAATAAAATTATTATTTGACCAGTTTACATTTATAAGAATATGGAATGTATGTAAAAGTATATGTAAAATGATATACTTAAAATATGCATATATATATATAAACTAATATATTATATTAGTATATTTATATAATACA